CACGTTCCCCTATAGTATTATGCGCTAATTCATAACAGATGAGGTGCAATTTCCATCGGCAAAGTTACGCTGTAATCCGCTCCCAAATGTTAATAATTTGAAAAAAAACAGAGAATGTGTACCGCGGTTTTAAGGTAACGCGTCCTAAACAATGCAATAGTCGCGGCTAGTCGTTGGGGACCCCACGTTACCACACCTCGTTGGCGAGGTTGACGAGGCTCGTGGTTTTGTGCGGAGCATTTCGGGTGCCCTGCTCCTCGCCTGCCAATCAGGGGGTTCCCTTCCAACTTACCTTCCTACCCTTGCTCTTCTAGCGCTGGACCTTGAAATCCGCCCACGTGCTTACACCTGCACTTACGCGCATCCGCGCACTCCCCCTTCCCCCATGCCTCTCCACACGCCACCGCCAGTCGCTGCGCATGCCTGTCTGCGCGGCTGCATTTCTCCCCTCATCCCCTCCTCCCGTCATCCCCTCCTCCCCTCATCCCCTCACCCGTCTGCGCTCCCCTCTCTCTCTCCAGCTTTCACGGCGCGCATCGGCCAGTCGTCGGCGCACCGTGCGCCATCGCCTCCGCATTCGTCTGTGAAACAAAGTCCTGGTCTGGCGAAAAGCCCTCGACTCGCGAGGTTCTTCCATCCTGATGACGCCACGTGGCAGGATACTAATGGGCAGGTTTCCCGCAACGGCGGGGGAAGGTCCGCATGTGCGAGTCGGCAACAGCGGGACCGGCGGCGGCGGCGGCGCGTAGGCGATCGACTGCAGCAGCAGTGCCAGTGCTTTTTGGATGCCTCGTTAAATGACGAAGCTTCATCTGCTGGTTCCTCTTTTGACGCGACTCGCCATCAACCCGCTTCCACCCACATTGCCTCTTCCGCTTCCTCCCCTCACGTCTCCGCTTCCTCCGCTTCCTCCGCTTCCTCCGCCTCACCCAGTTCCTCCCCTTCGTCGCTGCCCCCCACTCCATCCCTGTCGTCCGCCCACACCCCTTCCCCCCACATTGCCTCCTCCGTCTCGTCCCATCACCTCCCCGCTTCCTCCGCTTCTCCCCCCTCCTTTCCCCAACCGCCCCCCTTGCGCCCATCCTCCTCCCCCTGCTCTCCGCCTCCCCTCCCCCGCCCTCCTCCCCTGCGCCCTCCACTCTCCCCTCTGCGCCGCTCCCCTTAGGGCCAGGTACGTGGATTGGGGGGAGGGGGGGGTGGGGCAGGGGGGGGGGGGGGGGTGGTGGTATGCATGCGGAAGCATAGAAGGCGTGGGGGGCTTAGGGGAGGGAGGTTGGGATGGGAGGATGGGATGGGTACGATAGGGGGGATTACACTCTCGCCTAATGCAAGGGAGCCAGGTGCGATGCGATCATCATATAGTTTGAGATGTCTAGGGTTTAGGGGGATAAAATAATTGGGTACAATAGGGGGATAAAATAATTGGGTACAATAGGGGGATAAAATAATTGGGTACAATAGGGGGATAAAATCATTCACAGGGGGAACAATAGGGGGAATCCACTTTCGCCTCTTTCATGGGAGCCAGTTGTTACATTGAGCAAAAGAAGGTGATTTAGTCAATTCTCATATAGTTTTAGTTTCTCACATCATTTTGTTTCCTTTTTACAAAAAAAGGAAATGAAGAGGAAGAAGCTTAGAAAATCCCTTTCTCCATCCCCCCTGCCCGTTGACTGTCAGGTCACTTTGAGTATCTGCCGCTGAAGGCTCCTTTCCGCATGGCCATGGGGGTTGAGCCCATGCACATGCAAGACTGGATAGAGGTGCGTTGACTCGCGTTGACTCGCGTTGATTGGCGTTGACCTAAACAAATGAACATCTCGCCCTATCTCCTGGTTCCCCGTTCTCCTTCCTCTTCTGCTTCCTTTTCTGACGAGCGCCACTTCAAAAAACCTCTTGTGCAGCTGACAAGTCCACCAGCTGACACACTCCAGTGCTAGTCCTGCAGTCCTGCAGTCCTGCTTTCACCCCTTTCCTTCCACTTGGCCGCCCACAGATCGACCCATTTCCACCGGTACGAAATGGCCCTGAGGAAAGCAATACTAGCGAGTTGCCTTTCCACCTTTCCCCCCACCCTTTCCCCCTTTTCCTCCCACCCCACGCCACCCCCGGTTGACCCTGGCCTCACAGATCGACCCCTTCTACCGGCAAGACATGGCCCTGAGGAAGGCAATACTAGCAAAGCGCCAGAGCAACTTGCCATATCTCTCTTTCTCCCTCTCTCCCGTTTCTCCTTCCTGCTCTGCTCCCCTCTCCCCTGCAGATCGACCCCTTTTACCGGCAGGAAATGGCTTTAAGAAAGGCAATTCTAGCGAATCACCGGAGCACCGTCATTGGAAGGGTTGGGGGGGAGAGAAAGAGGGGGGAGAGTGCGGAGGGCAGGGGGGGGGATGCAGGGGAGTGGGAGGGGGAGCGAGTGAGGGAGGGAGAGGGGGAGTGGGAGGGGGAGAGAGTGAGGGAGGGAGAGGGGGATTGGGAGGGGGCGAGAGTGAGGGAGGCGGAATGGGAGTTGCTTCACATGCTGGCTAATTTCCTGCCCTCGAGATATCCAGATATGTATGTGGTAAGGGCGTCTGTTCAGGTAGTGCTAGGTTGCCCTCACTTGAATGCCTCTCTGTTAACAAAGGGCGTCTCGTTGTTGCCATTTACCATTCTCCCTCTCCCTTCCCCTCCTTCCCCCCTCCCCCTCCCCAGCTTCTCCCTCTCTCACTGTCGTCTGCACAACCACGCCACGGGTGATTCGTTCGACCTGTCGGATACATCCCAGGACCCCCTAGAGATCATCTCGCAACTGATACAGGTGATGATCCGATATAGAGTGAACTTGTACTGGTAATCCGTTCGACCTGTCGGATTCATCCCAGGACCGCCTAGATTCCATTGCACAAATCATACAGCTACTAATCAAAGTTGGTTTGTTCAAGCCACTAGGTGATTTTTTAGTCAATTCAAAATTTCTCTTTGACAAGCTTCTTCCCAATGCACAAATTTTGTCAAGCTCTTTGAGTCAAAAGAGCTTGACAAAATTTGTGCAATGGGAAGAAGCTTGTCAAAGAGAAATTTTGAACCACCCGAGAGCATTTGTGGCACTTTTCTTTGACACGCTTCTTCCCATGTTTCCTTGCACTCCCCTGCCCTCTTCTCCTTCCCCTCCTCGCTTCCTCTTTGAATGTGCTTCTTCTTGCAGGAAGATGTGTGCCTGATGATCCCTTGCTCGACCTCCTCCACTTCCCCTTCCTCCTCCTCCCATCCCTCCACTTCGTCCCCTTCCACCACTCCTCCCCTCTATCTAGTCTCTGGTGCTGTTCTTTTCCCAAACGGCTGGATTCTGCCCGAAAAACTCGGGCTGCCCACAGCTCAAATCCATGGGCCCGTGCCTCTCTACGAGTCGACGATCTCTCGAGCAGTCAACAAATTTCTGAACAATTTGCAGCCGGGCAGCCCGTTTTCTCGCTCCAATTGGACTATAACCGACGACCCGCGCCTCTTCCGCCCGATTTCAGAGGTTTGTTTTGTGACCGTCGAGTATGTTTTCTTCAAGCAAATGCATGTCAGAGGTTTGATTTGTGACCGTTGAGTATGTTTTCTTCAAGCAAATGCATTTCAGAGGTTTGTCTTGCGGACCGTTGAGTTTGCGCTCTTCAGTCACAAGTTCTTCAGCTGTGTGCTTGAGTCACTGGCTGGTGTGACGCAATCACTCGCGTTGCTGCTCTGAACCGCACCGTACCATAGCCTTTCACATATTCTTTAACTTGTTTTGTGTTTGTTTCCTCACCCTGTTGTGCACACTACTGCTGCCTCTGCCCCTGCTGTCACCGCTGCCGCTGCTGTCACCGCTGCCGCTGCTGTGTGCACACTACAGGCTTCATACGCCTCTCTGGTGCAGCTCAGGGCCAACATGGGAGAGAGCAGTCAGCAGACGCTGGAGCAGGGGCATCCAGCAGAGGGTCAGGCGCAGGAGCAGCCGCAAAGCGATGAGGAGGATCCAATAACCGTGGAGAATGCGGGATGGAAGCTGTTCACTCGGAGTGAAAGGGAGACGTTCGTGCGCCTGCCTGAGTGAGTGTGCTTAAGCGAGTGAGTGTGCTTAAGCGAGTGAGTGTGAAATCCCCCTTCATCCCCCCCTCCCCCCTCCCATCCCCTTTCCCCCCCCCTTCCCCCCCCTCCCCCCCCCCCCCCCCCCCACACACAGCTTCCAGGACCAGGACCGGAGCGGTACTGTTCACCATCCGCACACAGGTTCTCCCAACACACATTCCTCAAGCACCCTCCCCTACACCCCCACTCCGCCCCCCCTCCCCTCCCTTCCCCACCAAGTCATGCGCTGCCACCAGGACCAGAGAGGTACTGTTCATGCACCATCCGTACACACGTGAAGGCACAGTGCCATGAAGCCACAGTGCCACAGTGCATGAGTCTCCTCCCTAGCTGGAAAGGCTCACACCCTTCAACCCCCCCAACTTCATCCCCTTCCTCCACTCCCCCCCCCTTCCTCCCCCCCCCCCCCACACACACCTCCACCAGGACCGGAGCAGTACTGTTCACCATCCGCACACACATGAAGCCACTGCGTGTCTTCTCCGGGCGGCGCCAGCTGGCTGCTGATGTGGCGCAGGCCATGGACGCGCTGCCAAGCGAGATGAGGCGGTACAAGATGATTGGAGGGCGGCTTGCTGATGTGGCACGGGAGTATCTGCTGCGATGCTCCCAGGGGATTGTGTAGTGGTTTACATTCCAGCTAACTCAGCCTGAGGACTTGTAGTGTGGAAGGGCTGCTTGTACACCAGCTGCGCTTTCTTGTCTTTTTTACAGCGCCTCATTGTATGTACAGTGCGATGAAATGGCTTTGTACATAAACCAACTTGCTTTTGAAGCGATTTGTGGTGCAAGTTGCAAAATGCATTAAAGCGAGGATCTCGAAGCCCCTTCAACTTAAAACCTAAGGTTTTGGTCCCCATCCCAGCCAAAATGCCCCGGGATCAAAACCTAAGTTTTTGAGTTGGGGGGGTTTCAAGGTCCTCGCTTTAAGATGCCTCATTACAAGCCTGAAGGATGTGCATGAAGTCTGCCAATGCCAAGCCTACCACTGATCATTGTGATTGGAAACAAAGAAGCTGTCATATCATCAAAGTTGGCGGGGCTGGTTGGCAGAATTTGCCGAATTGCATCAATCACAACCCTGGTACCTTGACGCGATACATGGTGGCATTTGGGGGAGAAGCCATGCACGCATTGCACCACACCACACGCTTTGAAACATGTCCTTAGCATGCGAGCACGAGAGCGTCGTTAGCATGCAAGCCACGATTACACTGCTGCTCATCTCTATCATGAAATGTGTCGTTAGCTTGCGAGCACGAGAGAGCCTTCAGCAGCGGTCGGAGGAGGGATCGTTGATAGTCTCCATCATCGGGCGATACTTCTCCTGATGGGAGATGGGGGGGCGCAAACCACATTCAGCCATTCAGAGCAGCGTGATAGGAGTCTAGTGTTGTAGAGCAGCGCCTCAAAACTAGACTCCTATGGCGCAAACCCCATTCAGCCATTCAGAGCACGCAGCAAGCACGGGTTTACGCATGGGGGGTTAGGGGGGGGGGGGGAGGGGGGTCATGTGAGGAAGTACAAGAGACTTCAGCAGCGGTGGGCAGACGCAGTCGTTGATTGCCTCCATCATCGGGCGATACTCTCCTAATCGGGGGATGCACGCACCCAGGCATTCAGTGCACGCAGTACACACGGGGTTTGGCATGGCAGTGTACACAGGGTTCGGCATGAGGGGTGCATGGCATGTTAGCAAGTACAAGAGACATCAGCAGCGGTCAGAGGAGGGGTCGTTGATTGCCTCCATCATCGGGCGATACTTCTCCTGATGGGAGATGGGGGGACGCACACCCACCCAGCCATGCATCAGTCAGCCACAGCAACGAGGAGGCAAACCACAGCAAATCGAGAGCATTAGGTTCTGTCATGGTGCCTGAATACATACATAAATATGTACATATATACACGTACGTTTAAATCTACACTCACCAGCAGTTCAGTGTACTTCTCCCGGGCATATTCAGTGAGCTCCAAGTCGAGAGCATTGAGCTCCTTGATGCGCTTCATGACATTGGCTGGAATGTGGGCCCTCTCCTATTGGGATGGATGAGAGAGAGAGTAGCATGAGAGGATGATAGAGGGGAATGGGAATGGCAGGGGTGGATGAGTTGAGCTGAGGGAGCGATGGAGAGAGAGTGTGTGTTCAGTTGTGTGATTCTACTCATGACGCTGGCTGGTCTGTGGGCCTGTCATCTCAGTGAGCTGTCCTTTGAGTGGCCTCAAAACAGCACTGAGTTTAGCTCCAAGGCAGCACAGCAGCTCTGGGGCCACTGCATCAAACCGCAGCGCACCTTCCTGGAGAACTTGAGCAGGCCCATGTGGCGGAAGGCGATCATCTCATTGAGCTGTGTTTCAAGGAACGCCAAAACAGGACCGAGTTCAGGGGAAAAGCCCCACACAGCAGCGCACCTTCCTGGAGAACTTGAGTGGGCCCATGTGCCTGAAGGCGATCATCTCATTCAGCTGCGTGAGCTCCATCTGGTCCTTGAGGCACTCCATGTACTGCTCCCGGATGCTCTTCCACTGGGGGGGGATAGGGGGAGGAGTCAAGAAGACGAGGATTTTAACGATGGCGGGGTGAGACAATACAAGAGTCATTGTGGTCCTTGAGGAACTCCGTGTACTGCTCCCGAATGCTCTACCACTGGGGGGGGATAGGGGGAGGAGTCTAGAAGACGAGGATTTTTACGATGGTGGGGTGAGACAATACGAGAATCATTGTGGTCCTTGAGGCACTCCGTGTACTGCTCCCGGATGCTCTTCCACTAGATTGGAATCAAGGGGGCAAGGGGGTGAAGAGGATGGGGTGAGAGCAATGGCACATAGCTATCCTTGAGCCACTCAGCCTACCACAGAGTGTTTTTGACAACTCTCGAAAAGACCACGGCAGATACCTATCCTTGAGCCACCGCAGGGTGTTTTTGACAACGCTCGAAAACACCAAAGCAGATAGCTATCCTTGAGCTGAGCCACTCTGCCTACTGCTCCCGAATGCTCGTGAAGGGGGAGAGTAAGGGGTCAAGGGGGTCAAGAGAAGAGAGTCAACAGGTTCAAGGAGACAGATAGGTGAGCTCTATGGGGTCGTGAGCTCTCTGGGGTCGTTGCGGGACTCCGCCGACTGCTCCCATTATCTCCCCTTCCTCCTCATTCTTCCTTGCCCCTCTTAGCCTCCTTGCCCCCCTTAGCCTCCTTGCCCCCCTTAGCCTCCTTGCCCCCCTTAGCCTCCTTGCCCCCTTTAGCCTCCTTGACCTTCTCTAGAGTCTGCACTGCCCCCTCAGGTTCTTTTGAGTCGGCTCAGAAGTCATCGCCTAAAAAGTCACCTCCCCTTTCCCAAGCAAAGCTCTCACCGGCATCTCGCCTGCCTTGTCCTTCTTGGACTTCTTGGGCTTCTTGCACCGCCCCCTGGGGTTCTTGCCTGCACACGTGGGGGATGTGAGGGCATGTGGGGGGTCAGAGCGTAAGGAGGATGAGGGATAGGGACGAGTGGGGTACAAGATAGGGGCAGGAGGCGTCTTGCACCGCCCACTGGGGTTATTGCCAGCACACGTGGGGGTAGACATGAGCAAAATGCGATGCGATATTCAATCCCATCGCATTTTATTTTATCGCATGCGATAAAATATTGCATCACGCGATTAATTTTCCTGATTTTGGGATATCTCATATCGCATTTTGGGTGCGATAATTAACAATATCGCAAATGTTAGTGCGATATATCACGCGATGCGATAATATATCGCATCGCATTTACTGCATGTGGAAAAAAACTAAGTATTTGACCAGGAGGAAAAAAAGAGTGCGGAAATTCGACACAACCCTGGCGAAATTTAGCGCTGCAATTTTTTATATTGCATGCGATATGATAATATCGCATATCGCATTTTTATCGCACTACACATGGCGCGGAAAAAATGCGATGAAAAATATCGCGCGATAAATATCGCAACACATGGCGCGATATAATTTTCAGGGAAAAAAATATCGCAGTCGCAAAAATGCGATATTTGCGATGCGACAATGCGATATGTGATGCGATATGCTCATGTCTATGTGGGGGATGTGAGGGCATTGGGGTGCATGGCGTAAGGAGGGAGAGGCATACGGACATGAGAGGTACATGGAACGTTGGTCGCATGGCACATGGGTATGGGCAACGGGGTATGGGCAATGAGGCATGGGCAATGGGGCATGGGCAATGAGGCATGGACAATGAGGCATGGGCAATGGGGCATGTGCAATGGGGCATGGGCAATGAGGCATTGGCAATGGGGCATGGGCGATGGGGCATGGGCGATGGGGCATGGACAATGGAGCATGGGCAATGGGGCATGGGCAATGGGGCATGGGCAATGGGGCATGGGCGATGGGGCATGGGCAATGGGGCATGGGCGATGGGGCATGGGCAATGGGGCATGGGCGATGGGGCATGGACAATGGGGCATGGACAGTGGGCCATGGACCACGGGGCATGGGCATTGGGGCATGGGGGCATAGCTGCGTAGGGGCAAGGGGGCACAGGGGTACGGGGCCAAGCTAACATGTAGCAGTTAGACGGGATGAAAGTCAAGGCGTACCTGGGAGGGTCAAAGACTGAGGTGACTCAAGGCGTACCTGGGAGGGTCAAAGACTGAGGTGACTCAAGGCGTACCTGGGAGGGTCAAAGACTGAGGTGACTCAAGGCGTACCTGGGAGGGTCAAAGACTGAGGTGACTCAAGGCGTACCTGGGAGGGTCAAAGACTGAGGTGACTCAAGGCGTACCTGGGAGGGTCAAAGACTGAGGTGACTCAAGGCGTACCTGGGAGGGTCAAAGACTGAGGTGACTCAAGGCGTACCTGGGAGGGTCAAAGACTGAGGTGACTCAAGGCGTACCTGGGAGGGTCAAAGACTGAGGTGACTCAAGGCGTACCTGGGAGGGTCAAAGACTGAGGTGACTCAAGGCGTACCTGGGAGGGTCAAAGACTGAGGTGACTCAAGGCGTACCTGGGAGGGTCAAAGACTGAGGTGACTCAAGGCGTACCTGGGAGGGTCAAAGACTGAGGTGACTCAAGGCGTACCTGGGAGGGTCAAAGACTGAGGTGACTCAAGGCGTACCTGGGAGGGTCAAAGACTGAGGTGACTCAAGGCGTACCTGGGAGGGTGAAGGCCTGGGAGGAGAAGGAGCGGTCAAGCACAGCCAGCAGCAACTCAATGGACTCCTCCATGCGGTCAGTGAAGCCCAGGTGGATGAGAGAGTCCACTCGGGCCTGAATGGATTGGTACGGTTGGGAGACAAGGTAGCAGGAAGAACAGAAGATACTGAGAACTTGAACAGCCAGCAGCAACTCAATGCACTCCTCCATGCGGTCAGTGGAACCCAGGTGGATGAGAGAGCCCACTCGGGCCTGCATGTCTAGTTTTGAGGCGCCTCAAATGGATGTGAGAGTCCACGCGCGCCTGCATGTACGAGAAGGTGGTCGCGTGGAAAATAGTTGAAGACGGTTGACAGTACCATGAAACACAGGAGGATGACTGAGCACCCATGCTTGCTCGCCAGCCCTACCTAGGCTGCCCATTGCTTGCTTGTACCTTGGCCATATCGATCATGCTCTCAAAACTCCATCCCACCCCTCGGCATACTCCCATCCCACTCGTACCTTGGCCACTTTGAGCATCTCCTCTCCCAGGTCCGGGTGCTGCAGCACGCACTGCCTCACCCACCTCCCTCCCGTGCTGTCCATGCCACAACCCACACACTACTGTGCTTGCATGACCCACCTTGGCCAGTTTGAGCATCTCCTTGCCCAGGTCCGGGTGCTGCAGCACGCGCTGCCTCAGCCGCTTGGCCTCTCGTCGTGCTACCCATGCCCCCATCCCAGCCCCACTTGTACCAGCACATGCATTGCCCTACCTTGGCCGGTTAGAGCATCTCCTCTCCCAGGTCCGGGTGCTGCAGCACGCACTGCCTCAGCCGCTTTGTGCTCACATACCCCTACCTAGGGCCACCCACCCAGATGCACTGCCGCAATCAGAAACAATCCCTTGGTGCCGATGCCATCATCCCAAATGCCCCCATCCCAACCCCTTTGTACCTTGGCGAGTTTGAGCATCTCCTCTCCCAGCTCCGGGTGCTGTAGCACGCACTGCCTCAGCCGCTTGGCCTCTGGGAGCACGCTGTTGTTGGTGATGCCCGCCAGCTGAGGGGGTGCAGGGGGAAGGGACATGAGGGGAGGGGATACGAGGGGAAGGGACATGAGGGAGGGGAGAAGGAACGAGACATGAGCCCAACAGGGATGGCAGCACGCTGCTGTTGGTGATGCCGGCTATGTGAGCTTACATACGTCATGCACATAAGGTTATGAAAAGGTGGCTCCGTTGCGCAGCACGTCATGGGCATCACGAGGTGTGGCGATGCCTCTAAGAAGCATTTCCTCCAAGTAACCACCCCCAGCTCACACACACCTGGAAAGTCGCTCCATTATGCACGACATCAAAAGCTACATGCTGCTATTTGAAGTCCGTGAGTGAGAGGCATCATGAGGTGCCCCCCCCCCAGGGAGGTTCTTTGTGACCCTAGCCCTCTGCAGGGAGGTTCTTTGCGACCCTAGCCCCCCGCAGGGAGGTTCTTTGCGACCTTAGCGCCCCACAGGGAGGTACTTCACGACCCCGGGTTCTCAGGCAGCTCCACACGCCCTAAGCACGTTTACCTGGAAGGTGGCTCCGTTGTGCACGACATCAAAGGAGAGAGGCAGCTCTATAAAGTCCCTCAGAGGCATCACGTCACGAGGTGCTGAGAGGGGCACTCTCAGCATACGCATTCTCAGCATACCTGGAAGGTGGCTCCGTTGTGCACGACATCAAAGGCGAGCGGCAGCTCTATAAAGTCCCTGAGCGGCATCACGAGGTGCGGGCGCGAGTACATGTCAACTCGACCCTCGTCAAAGCCTACAGGCGGGGGAGGGATCCCAGTGAAATCGCGCTGCAGATAACAGTGTGAAGTGTGGGGGGGAGGGGCAAAAGTGGGGCCGTGCATCACCAGGTGCGGGCGCGAGTACATGTCGACCCGGCCCCTGTCGAAGCCCTCGGGCGGAGGGGGGATGCATGCCGGTGAAATCATGCTGCAAGGAAAGGTTTGCATTGGAGAGAGAGAACAAGGGAGGGTTGGATGGGGGGAAGGGAAGGGATCATCTCGAGGTGCAGGCGCGAGTACATGTCGACTCGACCCTCGTCGAAGCCTACGGGTGCGGGATCTAGGGTTCAGGGTTAAGGGGTTAAGGGTGCGGGAGGGATGCTGGTGAAATCACGCTGCAGAAAAAGAAAACGGGTTGCATGGGGAGGGTGACTGACGGGTAACGGGAGGGTGACGGGTTACGGGAGGGTGACGGGTAACGGGAGGGTGACGGGTAACAGGAGGGTGACGGGTAACGGGAGGATAACGATAGAAAGCAGAGTCCACGGCGACACGTTCCTCGTGTCAGTCAGTCACCACCAGGTTCCATCCAGTAGTGCAGCTGCTAGTGCCGCCCGCCTGTGATGTGATGCTGCTCTCCATCTGAGAGTTCATAGCTTACAACCACTCACCCGATCCCACAGATCTGTTTCCTCATCAATGGAAAGCATCATCCACGGCCACGTGTTCCTGTGTTGAGCTGCGTTCACTGCTGCTTGTACCACCTGCTTTACCACTCACCCGATCCCACAGGTCTTCCTCCATGACGATAGACAGCAGCGCCCACAGCCACACGTTCCTTGCGCCGGTCGGCACCAGGGTTCCTGTAGTGCTCTTTACCTTCTCCCCAAGCACCTTTCTATGTTATGCGATAGTGTTACTCACCCTGTCCCACAGGTCCTCCGATAAACAGCACCGTCCACGGCCACTCGTTCCTCGTGTCTATCTAGCATCTGGTTCCTATGGTGCTGTGGGAACGAGGCGACTTTTGAGTCGTCTCAAAAGTCACATCCCTACAGTGCAGTAGGTAGGAACCTTGCACATCTACTCACCCGATCCCACAGGTCCTCTTCCATAACGATAGAAAGCAGCGTCCACGGCCACACGTTCCTCGTGTCGGTCGGCACCAGGTTCCTGTAGTGCTCGCGCATCTTGCGCCGGGCGGCGTACAGCGTCTCATCTGGCAGCTGCTTGAGGTCCAGCCCCATGCTCCTCCCAGAGATGTGCACCGAGAACTCGTACATGGACAGCACGCGGTCTAAAGGCTCCCTGAAGAGAGTAGTTACTCCGGTGGCGGCGCCAGGGGGCAGCTGGGTGGTCATGCCGTAGTCGTCGTGTGTGGCTAGCAGACGGCAGCCCAGTCTGTTGGGGAGGTGAACCGGGGGGGAGGGAGAGGGGGGGAGGGGGGGAGAGGGGGGTGGGGGGGGGAAGGGACATGGGGCAGGGTGTACAGCATCTCATCCGGCAGCTGCTTGAGGTCCAGCCCCATGCTGCGGCCCGAGATGTGCACCGAGAACTCGTACATGGACAGCACGCGGTCTAAAGGCTCCCTGAAGAGAGTAGTTACTCCGGTGGCGGCGCCAGGGGGCAGCTGGGTGGTCATGCCGTAGTCATCGGGGGTGGCCAGCAGACGGCACCCAGGCTGATGGGCCGGTAAAAGGGAGGCAGGGGAAGTGAGAGGGGGAAAGAGGGGGAGAGGGGAGCTGGGTTCAGGGTAGGGAGCACTCGCAGCTGCTTGAGGTCGAGCCCCATGCTGCGGCCCGGGCTGCTTGAGGTCCATGCTCCATCCAGCCCCATGCTGCGGCCCGAGATGTGCACCGAGAAGAGAACTCGTACATGGAGAGCACGTGGATTAAGGGCTCATGGAATAGAGTTGTGATGCCTAGCGGCGCCAGGAGGGTGTTCATGATGTATCATATCATCATGGGTAGCCAGCAGACAGCAAAGAGAAGGGGACCGTCTCGTGCCTCAGTGCGTGGTGTACAGCAGGTTGCACTGCACGCTGCTTGCTGGACGCATGGGCTAACAATGTGCATGGGCATGGGCATGGGCATGGGCATGGGCATGGGCATGGGCATGGGCATGGGCATGGGCGTGGGCATGGGCATGGGCATGGGCACGGGCGTGGGCATGGGCATGGGCATGGGCATGGGCACGGGCATGGGCATGGGCATGGGCATGGGCATGGGCATGGGCACGGGCACGGGCATGGGCATGGGCATGCGCATGGGCATGGGCATGGGGATGGGCATGGGCATGGGCATGGGCGTGGGCATGCGCATAGCACATCTCACTCACGTGGGGTCGTCTCTGAGCACGTGGTATGACATGTTGCACTGCACGCTGTTGGGTGAACATGCATGAGAACGTGACCCTAGCAGCGAGTAGTATATGTGCACTACCTATCAACAACAGCAATAGCCCATATAACTCACATGGGGTCGTCTCTGAGCACGTGGTACGACTCGGCATGTTGCACTGCACGTTAATAGGCATGAGCACGTGAGACTAACAACGAGTACTGCCCCTACTACTCGCTACACATTGGGCATAGCATAGCATAGCATAGCATAGCATAGCATAGCATAGCATAGCATAGCATAGCATAGCATAGCATAGCATAGCATAGCATAGCATAGCATAGCATAGCATAGCATAGCATAGCATAGCATAGCATAGCATAGCATAGCATAGCATAGCATAGCATAGCATAGCATAGCATAGCATAGCATAGCAGAGCATAGCATAGCATAGCATAGCAGAGCATAGCACATGCAATGCGACTCACGTGGGGTCGTCTCTGAGCACGTGATACGACATGTTGCACTGCACGTTACTGGGCATGAGCACGCTCAGGAAGCTGGGGGATTCGCAGGGGAAGGTGCAAGCAAACGGAAAAACGGGAAAGACGGAATCAGCAGCCTTGCTAAAGCACGCTGCTGGGCTGGGCACGAGCACACTGAGGAAGCTGGGGGGAAACGCACGGGAGGGATGGGGGGAGAGGAGGAAAGAGAAAGGCAACAGTCCTTTTTAATTAAAGCACACGGAGGAGGGTGCAGGGAAATGCAGGGGAGGGAAGGGGGAGAGGGTAATAGGGTAAGCAGTAGGGCAATAGGGCAGTAGGGCAATAGGGCAATAGGGCAATAGGGCAATAGAGAGGCCATGAAAGGACGCGGGAGGGGAGACAGGGCAAGCGATGTTGTTTTGCAAAACAAGGAAACAGGACAAGCATTGGGTCTCGTCAGCGTGCTCGTGCCCAGCCAGCCCAGCAGTGTGCTTCAGCAAGGCTGGGAAACCGGTCGAACAGGGAAACCGGACAAGCATTGGGACTCGATGGAGAGCAAAACAAACATGATCGAATCTCATTGGGCCACACTCGATCAGGTCGCAACAAGGAAAGCCAGACGCCCCATAAGAGCACACCGCATCAGAGCACACCGCATAAGAACACACATCATACAGTCACACCTTCTAGCAGCACAACCCAACAAGATGCGAGCACACACACGCTATGCAGGCACAACCTGACAAGATGCGAGCTCACCCAACAAGCGCACAGCCAGACAGGATGTGAGCACAGCCTGTAAAAGCACACCTGACAGGATGTGATGTGAGCACTGGTGGAACGTCCAGCCTCCTGCCCTGGTCACGTGGAGGACGACGAGTGTCCGGGGCACAGCATGCTTCCCACTGCCCGCCCGCTCCTCCCGCTGCCACTGCACCTCCTATTATCACACCTCATACAGTCACACACACCTTGTAAGAGCACACTGACCACTGGTGGAACGTCCGGCCTCCCGCCCTGGCGACGTGCAGGAAGAAGAGCGTCTGTGGCATGCTTGGCTCCCCGCTGCTGCTGCGCTCCTCCCGCTGCCACTGCACCTCCGCGGTCTCCGCCATCTGCACCTCCACCCATTCCTCCACCTCCGCTGCGCACGACGCATAGTCCAGCTTGGGGGGAGGCTCGGACTGACCATAACGAAGCGCTGACGCAAAGGGGGTCAGGGACACCGCTGGTTGGGTGGGGGGGGGTTGGAGGAGATGCGGGAAGGGAAGGGAAGAAGGCAGTTAGCCTAACCTAAACGGCCTTTGTATATGTACAAGCACAATGCGTCGACAATGCCAACTCAGCTCGGGTGACACTGCCACGTCAGCTCGGGTGACACTGCCTCGTCAGCTCGGGGGAGACAATCCCAAACCAAGGCTAACGCATTGGCTTAGCTTAGACTAAAATGTCGCGGTCTAGACCAAACAGGCGTACATCAAACAGGACATAGGTACATCACGAGACTGACATTTTTTTCTTTAGAGTCGACTCAAAAGCAGGCTGACAGACAATGAAGAGGAAACTTTCACTTCACTCAAAAAGGTGATTTTCGTAGATGATTTTTTAGTGGACTCAAAAGTAGACTGACAATGACGAGGAAACTTTCACACATACACCACGGGAGCACGGGAGGGCACGGGAGGGCACGGGAGGGCACGGGAGGGCACGGGAGGGCACGGGAGGGCAAGGGAGGGCGCGGGAACCATGGGGGCTTCCGCGGACAACGGAGCGGTGCCTGCCTAATCTGTAAAACTTCAGTCAACCTCTTAGAAACTTCTAAGTACGTAACAGCGAAAGTAAAGCGGAACCGTACCCAATATGACGGCGATCCACATCGGCGCTGCGTGAGGAGGACGCATTGCTCGTCTCGAGGAAGCCATTATCGGAGCTATAGAGGAAACTGTGTAGCAAGTAGTCCCCAGACCAGAAAAGAAAACCAGAAGTGGCGAGGCGAATCCTCAGGGCGTGTCACACGCCCTCATGGAACCTAGAGAATGCCGACGGTCCAGTCCAGTCCAGGTAGGGAGCGATGCGAAATCGCGTGGCGAGTAACAAATCGGTTTTGATGAGTGACAAATAGTTACGATGTAAAACACGTTCCGTTATCTGACAAGTAAGGACAAGTGTGTTAGTGCTGAACTCTAAATGACATGAACCCAAATGAGTCTGATAAATTAAGGGGAATCTGACTAACTTCTTACTAACCTTGAGCACCATAGTGCTAAATATGTGTACAAGAAATACATACACCTACTGTGACGGTGCCGATTGAGCAAGAACGGCCATTTTCCGCTGCTCAGTCTTTTCAACTCCAGCCAACCTTTCATCAAGCCGCCCGCTCAAGTGCTCCGGGCCTTGGCTCGGCACTAGGTACGGCAGGGAGGGGGTCTCACGCCACGAGTCTGTCGACATTCCAACCAGCTCTACTGCCGACAAAGACGAGGCAGTAGCCGTTACCAAGTTATGCGGTCGCGACATCTCAAAATCCGGCGGCCTCGTGTCATTCCTCGTGTCATTTCTCAGGGTTACATCTTTCCCCAGGGTGCGTCCCTCCTCACTCATGGTCACATTGACCCCTTCACTCAAGCGGCGCTTTCCATCCGGGGTCGCCCCAATCCCATGACTCCCGGCCGGCTCACGGGCAGATTCAAACTCTCGGCCACCTGCCCGGGGCTGGAACCCGGGCTGCGCGAAAGGCGAGGCGAACCGGGGCTTGTCCTCAGCTGAAAAGTGCCGTTTCTCCTGAGGGGTGGGTGGCGACATGACCCCTTGCTGCACTTTCCTCAGCAGCATGTAATCCCCATGGGGCGCATGCGCCATCATCAATTCCGCCTCCACACTCTCCCCAGAAAACCCTCCCCGCCCTATCCCCTCCCCTCCCCCCTCTCTCCCTCTCCCCCCACTCCCTCCACCCCCCGTTGGCAAATTCGGCCGTGCGATCGGGCCAGTGTACGCTGCTCCCTCCCTCCTCCGCCTCATCAGAGAGTCTGAGACTGCCATGGGGCCCACCCCTTGCGCCCCGCCCCCTTGCGCCCCGCTCCCTTCCCCTCCGCTCCGTGACTTGAACTCCTCCGATGATCCCCCCCTCCGTATGTACATCTCCCCGCTCCTCCCTGGCCCTCTAAACCCCATCGTGCTCCCTCCCTCTCCCTCTCCCTCTCCTCCTCCACCTCCTCCTCCCCATCCTCCTGATCTCCCTCGCTCACCCCCGGCTCTATCCCCATGCCTTCCCGAGCTACCCCCACTCCAGTCTCCCACACCCATCCCTGCAACAACCCCTTCTCCCGACCCTCCCCGCCCTACTGCACACATCCCCATTTCCCCACTCACTCTCTGACTCACTCGCCCACTCACTCTCTCACTCACTCTCTCACTCACTCCTCCAACACCCATCCACACTCCACCACTCCCATCGCCATCCCCCCTCATGCCCCCTGACGCCTCCCCTCCTTCCCCTTGCCAGCTCATCGCCAGCTCAGCCGGGACCACTCTGTTCAGATTCTCCCCTCTCCCAAAACCCCGATCCATCCCCCTGCCGCCCCGATCTCGCGCATCCATCCCTCCGGACGAATCCCCACCGTTCGTTCCCGAGCGAGAAAACGTCAGAGTGGAATTGTAATAACCCCGCCTACCAACCATCCCCCCTCCATCCCCTCCTCCCCCTCTCGCTGCTCCTCCTCCTCCTGCTCCTCCCCCCGTGCCCCTATCTCCCCCCATCTCCCCACCATACTCCACCCCAATCTCAGAATCATACTCCTCCTGCTCCCCCTCCTGCCCCTCCTGCTGCTCATGCCGCCGCTGCTGCGGCTGCTGGTGCTGCTGCTGGTGGTGCTGGTGGAAGTGATTCCTTACAGGTGTGTTGGACAGCTCCATGGCAACGGCCTCCCCGAGCTCCCTGACCACCTCGCTGATGCTCGGCCGGTTGATGCCCATGGGCTCCACGCACAGGATGCCCACCTCCGCCACTTTCCACATGGCGTCCATGAGGAACTCCGAGGGGGGCAGCGTGGGGTCCACTATCGCCTCGATATCACCCTGCTGGAGGTGCTTGCGCGCCTGGGGGGGGAGGAAGAGGGGGGGGGGATCAGAGAGAGGGGAGATCACACATGGGCTCCACGCACAGGATGCCCACCTCCGCCACTTTTCACATGGCGTCCATGAGGAACTCGGAGGGGGGCAGCGTGGGGTCCACTATCGCCTCGATATCACCCTGCTGGAGGTGCTTGCGCGCCTGGGGGGGAGGAAGAGGGGGGGGGGATCAGAGAGAGGGGAGATCACACATGGGCTCCACGCACAGGATGCCCACCTCCACCACTTTCCACATGGCGTCCATGAGGAACTCGGAGGGGGCAGCGTGGGGTCCACTATCGCCTCGATATCACCCTGCTGGAGGTGCTTGCGCGCCTGGGAGGGGTTGTAGGGGAGGATGGCAAGGGGAGTGGAGGAGCGGAAGAGGGGGAAAGGAAGTGAGGTCAAGCATTGAGAGGGGAGAGTGAGGGGAGAGTGAGAGGGGAGCATGACAGGGGAGGGTAAGAAGGGGGGAAAAGGAGAGAGGCATTTGAAGGGGAGACAGCACGGAATGCAGAGAAACCCCCAAGCCAGCAGGAATGAACAGCAGTAAACAGCAGTCAGCAACACTCAATAGCAGTCAACAACACTCAACAGCAGTCAACAACAGTCAACAACACTCAACAGCAGTCAGCAGCAGTCAACAACACTCAACAGCAGTCAACAGCAGTCAACAACACTCAACAGCAGTCAACAGCAGTCAACGCACCCAGTCAATGATGTTCCAGTCGACCCTTGGTCTGTTGAGGTCGATGGGTTGTCGCCCGCTGACCAGCTCCAGCAGCACCACCCCGAAGCTGAACACGTCGCTGCGATCCGTCAGCTGCTGCACCGTGTAGTACCTGGGGTGGTGGGTGAGGGGGTGGGAAATGGGGGGTGGGATATGGGATACACGCTTACTTGTGTGCATCCATCAGCTGCTGCACCGTGTAGTACTTGGTGACAAAGGGGAAGGGGAGTGGTGGGGTTAAGGGTGTACCCATGCTGTGTGTGTGAGGCCATCACCTGCCGACCAGCTCCAGCAGCAGCAGGAGTATATTTTTGAGGCTCCTCACCAAAAATAGACTCCTCACGCGTGTGAGGCCATCGCCCGCCGACCAGCTCCAGCAGCAGCAGCAGCAGCAGCAGCAGCCTGGCCTAAAAAATAGACTCCTCACGCGTGTGAGACCATCGCCCGCTGACCAGCTCAAGACTGCCATCCGATGACTCCTCCCTTCATTTGCTGCTCCCAAATCCTCATTTACTCTGGATCCAGGAGGGTATCCTGCCATCCCCTTCACATTCGTGGACACATGCAAGCTGTCCTGCGGGCCCAGCCTGGAGAGCCCAAACCGAAATCAGGGACCTACTTCCCATCAGAGAAAAGCCCTTCAAAAGCCCTCCCGTTGTCCCTCTCTCCTACCATCCCACTCACTCCCTCTGTCCGCCCACACACTCACTCTGGATCCAAGTAACCCGCTGTCCCCTTGACATTGGTCGACACGTGCGAGCTGTCCTGTGGGCCCAGCCTCGAGAGCCCGAAATCAGCGACTTTGGCGCAGAGGCTGTCGTCGAGGAGGATGTTGGTGGTCTTGATGTCGCGATGGATGATGGAGGGGCGAAGGGCCACGTGCAAATACTCTATGCCTGGGGGGAGATAGGGGAAGGGGGAAGAAAGGAAGGGAACAAGATGGGGGAAAGGGAGGAGGGACGGATGATGGACGGACGAGGAGCCCCGTGCAGGTACTATGCCTGGGGGGGAGGGGGGGAAGGAGGTGGGGGTGGGGGGCTGGGCTGGGGAGGAGAGATGGTGAGGTTGACATATCAGAGAGTGACTGCTGATGATTTGCAAAACTGATGTGTGGTGACCTTTGAATCGACTCGAAAGGCAACCAGAACACACCTCTTTCGCAGCCACAGCAATAGATGCCACACCCCTCTTGTAAGCAGGCAATTTCATTAGACGTCTAAAAAATAAAAACCAGCTCCTAAGTGTGACATGACATCCACCCCGTCTCTCCCCACCCCACCCCTCTCCTCTCTCCCTCGCCGTCTCAATACCTTTCTTTTAGGCGCCTCGAAAATAGACTCTTCCCCCACCCTTCCCCCCTCCTCTCTCGCTCGGCGTCTCAATACCTTTGGCGGCACCAACAGCAATAGACAGGCGCTGCAGCCATCGCAGTCGGCCCCTTGGCGCTCCCAACCGGTCTGCACCGCATTCAGAGGGCGAGATGGGAAGGGATGAAAGAATATGGCAGTTCAGGAATAAAGACAGGCAGAATCACACAGGCAATGCACAGGCAAAAATAGAGACAGGCAAACTCTTTTGAGTCGACTCAAAAATAGGGACAGGCAAACTCTTTTGAGTTGACTCAAAAATAGAGACAGGCAAACTCTTTTGAGTCGACTCAAAAACAAAGACAGGCAAACTCTTTTGAGACCATCAGAAGCTGCTGCCCTCTGTACCCTCTATAGAATAGAACACTTTACAGCATCACGACCACTCATACAGTACAGGTAATCACCATAAATGTGTTCCCTCAAATTGCCCTGCGCCATGAACTCATAAACCAGCAGAAGCTGCTTCTTTTTGTACCCTTTATAATAAGCACTTTAGCCTATCATGCGTTACAGTATAGCGGCACTCACCATATAAGTGTTCTCTCAGGTTGCCCTGCGCCATGAAATCATACACCAGCAGCTGCTGCCCTCTGTACTCTTCATAGTACAATAGTTCACAGTATCAACCCCACTCAGCTCAACCCCACTCACCATATAAGTGCTCCCTCAGGTTGCCCTGCGCCATGAACTCATACACCAGCAGCTGCTGCCCCTGCTCCTCACAGAAGCCAATCAGCGCCACCAGGTGCGGGTGGCGAATCTTGGACAGGAACTTGAGCTGGAGGGAGGGAAACGGGGGAGGGAAGGGTAATTAATGACGGGAAAGGGAAGGGGGGAAGGGGGGGGTAATTAATCACGAAATAACACTCCATTTTTTCCACACACACAAAAAAGAAAGAAAAAAGAAAGAAAGTACGAAAGAAAACTCTATTCTCACCTTGCTATTGAACTCTGTCGTTTCCTGCATGGAATCAACCCCGCTCTTCCCTTAGCCACGCAACCCCATTCTCCCATTCGCCAGCACCCCCCGATACACCGACACAGAACAACCAACCGCAACCATTCTCACCTCGTCATTGAGTTCGGTTGATCCCTGCATGGAGTCCACTGCTCGCCTCTTCACCACCACCACTCGCCCATTCCCCAGCTCCCCAAACATCAACACAGAACACAACAACCCGACATCCCCCCTCTAACCCCCCAACCTCACCTCGTTATTGAACTTTGTTGATCCCTGCATGGAGTCCACCGCTCGCCCATTCCCCAGCTCCCCAAACATCTACACAGAACACCCCCCTCTAACCCCATAAAGCTCACCTCGTTATTGAACTCGGTGGACCCCTGCATGGAGTCCACTGCTCACCTCTTCACCGCCACCACCCGCCCATTCGCCACCAACCCCCGGTACACCGACCCGAACCCGCCCGCACCGATCAGGTGCTCCTCACAGAACCCCCCTGAGGCCTCCTCCAGCTCCGCCAGGGTGATTCGCTGCACCTCTCCCTCACGCCAGGAAGGGCGACCCTCCCCCCCTCCCCCCCTCCCCCCCTTCTGCCACCCTGTTGCCCTGATTCCCGGAACCCATCCCAGAGACCCTCCAGAAAAACTCACCTCGTTATTGAACTCTGTTGACCCCTGCATGGAGTCCACCGCACGCCTCTTCACCGCCACCACCCGCCCATTCGCCAGCACCCCCCGGTACACCGACCCGAACCCGCCCGCGCCTATGAGGTGCTCCTCACAGAACCCCCCAGTGGCCTCCTCCAGCTCCGCTAAGGTCATCCGCTGCACGTGCGTGGGCGGCACAGTGAACGGCTCAGGGTCCACTGCCAGCACGTTGGGCGGGGACTTTTGTCCGTTCTGCGCTGCTGCTCCTCCTGCTGCTGCGGCTGCTACTGCTGCTGCTGTAGTTGCTATTCCTGCACCTACGACAGCTGTAGCATCATCAGCTGTAGCAGCAGCAGTGCTGGGCGGATAACCCCCACCAGCAAGACTGCCCTTCCCTCTTTCCCCACTACGGTCACTGTGGATACTCTTAGGCTCGGACACATTCCCATTGGGCAGAAGAGGCTCGGTAGAGCTTGAATTAGGCCCGGAAAGTGGCATGCTTGGCAAACCTACACCGTCCCCATACTCTCTCTCTCGATCCCTACTTCCCCCACTTCCCCCTCTCTCCCTCTCCCTCTCCCTCTCCCTCTCACTCTCACTCCCCCGCTCCTCTCTTGACCCACTGCGGGACACACCAACAGCTCTCCGCCCGCTTCCGTCCCTGCTCCTTCCACTCCCTTCCCCATACCCATCCCCTTCCTTCCCTGACCCCTCATCCCCATCCCCCCCTCCCCTCCTCCTCCTCCCCCTGCTGCTGCTCCTGCATTCTCAGCCTCACTCCTCTTCTCCTCCCCCTCCTTCTCCTCGCCCACCTTCCTGGCCCTCTTCCTCGCCCCTCTAACGTACATCCACACAACCAGCGCAGATGCAATAGCCGCTACCAAGATGGACGCCACCAGCGATATCACCAGCACGTTCCGCCCATTGCCGTCGGAATTAGCAGGAGAAGGGGAGGGAGGAGAGGAGGGCTCAAGCGGGGAGTACGGGGGAGATGCGGCGGGGGAGCGTGGGGGGAGGGGGAGGGGAAGGGGGAGGGGGCAGGACTCCGCAGTTGGAAGGTTGTAGAGGCCCTGTGGGGAGCAGAGGTCGTTGCCGGTGGCTCTGGGGAGGGGAGGCGAAGGGGAAAGGAGAGAGAAGAGGGGAGAAAAGAGAGACTCAGCAATCCGCAGGAAGACAAGGGACGGGGTTTGGAGAGGGGGCAGGAATCCGGAGTTGGGAGGTTGTAAAGACCCAGTGGGGAGCAGAGGTCGTTACCGGTGAACCTGTGGGGGAAGAGGAAGAGAAGTATACTATTTAATGAGAGGGAAATAGCAATTTGCGGGAATTGAGAAGTATACTGCTTACTTGCGATAAACAGACGTTCTGAGTGTAGTGTAGTAACTTACACTATCTGGATGTACTGAGTGGTCATATTGAAAGGGAATACACCCGTTAGACTGTTGTTGGCCACGTTTCTGCAGCAGAGGGACGGATGGGGGAGGGAGAGTCACAGCAGCAACGCAGTGAATTTTGAGTCGACTCAAAATACACCTGATTGCAGATATGCTAGAAGACGACGTAAAAAGGACTTGACACGACACATGCTTTTAAACTGCTAGGGATAGTAATGGCGGCAGAAGGATGGGCCCACTGGAAAGACACAAGGAGAAAGGGTTGTAGAAGGTTTAAGGAAAGGCACAAGGGCGCAGGGACACTGACAGCTGCACCAGTGTAGTGAGATTGGTGAGCGACTGAGGCACTACCCCTCCAGCTGGTTGTTCTGCAGCAGACTGAAGGAGGAGGAGGAGGGAGTGGGGGGGAGATGGGTGGAGAATGGGGGAGGAGGGGAGAGATTTGGGAAATCGGATGAGAGGAGGGGAGAAGGGGTGAGGGAGGGGGGGGGATGGGTTAGAGGGGGGAGGAGGGGAGGGAATGGGGAGAAGGGGGGGAATGGGAGAGAAGGGGGATGAGGTGGACCACAAAAGCAGTGGAGACCGACAGATGCGGACCACGGCATATTGTTCTTACACAGACTGTGGGGCGATTTCAGAAGAATAGGGTATGTAGCCTTGGATAAAAGGCAGGCAGGGCCTGCGGTTTAAGAGCAGGCAGGCCAATGCAGGCTAACGACATAAGAGGGGATGTAGCTTTGACTTTTGAGTCGACTCAAAAGTCTTCTTTTGAGTCGACTCAAAAGAACAGGGTATGCTGCAGCCGCATATAAAAGGCAGGGCCTGCAGCCTGCAGACTGCAGTTTAAGAGCAGGCAGGCCAAGCAGGCCAAGGCAGGCTCAACTCAAGGCATGACAGGGGAGGTAGCCTTGCAACCAAGCAGGTAGAATGACAGGGCGAGTATAGAGCCGGCTGAAGCCTGAAAGCTGAAACTACTCACAGCGTGAGCAGATCCCCAAGGTCGCCCAGGGAGCTGGGTATCTCCCTCACCAGGTCGTTGTCATTGATCCAGCTGGGGGGGAAGAGGAGGGAGAGGAGGAAAGAGTAGGGGAGATGGGAGAAGGAAGGGAGAAGGAAGGGAGAAGGAAGGGAGAAGGAAGGGAGAAGGAAGGGAGAAGGAAGGGAGAAGGAAGGGAGAAGGAAGGGAGAAGGAATGGAGACGGGCACAAGGAAGGTTACAGATGAGTACATCGCCCAGGTCATTGTTGTTGAGCCAGCTGGGGGGAGGGGGGGAGGAGGGGGAGGGGAGATGGGGACAAGGAGGTTGCAGACAAGTAGAGCTCCCGGGGAGAGGAGTATTAGCATATGAGATGAATAGAGTGCCCAGGGAGCGGAGCTGGGTACCTCCCTCGCCGGCTTGTTCCCGCTGAGCTAGCTGGGGGGGAGGGGGGGGGGGGAAGGCGAGCACAAGGAAGGTCACGGACGAGTAGATTGCCCAGGGAGCGGAGCTGGGTACCTCCCTCACCAGCTCGCTGTTGTTGAGCCAGCTGGGGGGAAGCAGGAAGGGAGATAAGGTCAAGGGGGTTACAGGAGGAGTCGGGCATCTCCCAGGGCGGGGAAAGGGAGAAAGGAAGAAAACAGAGGAGCAGAAGCAAAACGGCTACAAGGAGAAATGGAGCACGAGAGGTGTTGCAGAGGTGGGAGGGGTCTCACAGGTGTTAGAGGGGCGAGAGGGAGCTCACATGTGGGGCAGGGAGAAGGGAGTAGGGGCGGCTCACGAGTGTGGCAGAGGGGGAAGGAGACTCATAGGTGTTGGAGAGGGGGAAGGAGGCTCACAGGTGTTGGAGGCGGGAGACGTTAGCAAGGGAGGGGGAGATGGAGCCGTGGAGACTGGAGTTGCCGAGGTAGCTGGTGGTGGGATGAGGGGAGCGGGGAGAGAGGAGAGAAAGTGAGGAGTTAAGCGACCAGAGATAAGGAGATGGCGCCGTGGAAACTGGAGTTGCCGAGGTAGCTGGTGGGGGGAGGGGAGCGGGGAGATTGAGAGGGCAACAAACAGAGAGGGAGAGATTGAGCGATGGAGCCACGGAACCAACCTGTAGTTGCTGTCAGTGGATCCATGCAGGTGCTGGATCGGGAGAGGGGAGAGGGTAAGGAGTGCAGCAAGCAGCGTCATGGGATTTGCCTTTTGGAGCTCTCAAACGCAAGGGAGGGAGGGATGGAGCCACATGCCGAGGTGGCTGGGGAGGGGAGAGAGGGAAGGCGCTGAAGTGTGAAAGCCCCATCATGTGACAAGAGTGCAGCACACAGCGAGTGACAAGTGATGAGATCCGCTCTAAGCAAGAGAGACGGGACTCGACTCCCCATCATGGGGCACGCTGACATTCGTGAGCAAGGACTCCCCATCATGGGGCACGCTGACATTCGTGAGCAAGGACTCCCCATCATGGGGCACGCTGACATTCGTGAGCAAGGACTCCCCATCATTGGGCACGCTGACATTCGTGAGCAAGGACTCCCCATCATGGGGCACGCTGACATTCGTGAGCAAGGACTCCCCATCATGGGGCACGCTGACATTCGTGAGCAAGGACTCCCCATCATGGGGCACGCTGACATTCGTGAGCAAGGACTCCCCATCATGGGGCACGCTGACATTCGTGAGCAAGGACTCCCCATCACTGCATTGCATCCCCGCCCACCCACTTAGGTTCCCCCATCTCTTCACTTCACCCCCTCCCTCCCCCCAGTTCCCCTTATGTCCATTCCTCCCTCCTCCCCATCCCCCCCCCCCACCCCACTCACATGCCGCTGACATGGGACTCGCTCTCCCCCTGCGTCTGCGTGCACTGTATGCCCGCCCACTTGATGGGGTTGCATGGATCCGACCCCTGCCACCCCGCCAACGACGCTGGCGCCCCCAACGCCTGCTGGAAGTCACGCAGGGCCGAGACTGGGAAAGGGAAGGGACGAAAGGAGAAGGGACGAAAGGAGAAGGGTGAAAGGGAAAGGGGTGAAGACTGGAGAGTGGATGGGTCCGCCGCCTCCTGCCACCCCGCCGAAGAGGCTGGCGCCCCCAACGCCCGCTGGAAGTCACGCAGGGCAGCGACTGGGAAAGGGAAGGGAAGGGGGTGAAGTGAAGGTGGGGGGGGAGGGGGAAGCAGGGAGCAGGGCAGTGGAGGAAGGGAAGGAGAAGGGCTTGAAAGGGAAGGAGAAGGGCTTGAAACGGTTACACGGGTCTGCCCCCTGCCATCCTGGCAAAGAGGCTGGCGCCCCCAAAGCCCACTGGAAGTCATGCAGGGCTGGCCTAGAATGAACAAGCGGGGGGAAGAGGGGAGAGGGGAGCGGAGAGGGGGAAGGGGGAAGGAGTGGGTTTGGCTGCAGGTGCGGGCTTGGCTGCAGGGAACAGCTTGTACATCTATATGCCACTGACTGCTGGCAGCAGACGGCTCAGGCTATCCATTGCAGGCCGCAGCACGAGACGAGCGCCAAGGGAGCAGCAACGCAAAGCAGCATACAGCCCTACCTGAGCCTACTCAGGCAGATTTGAACGAATGGAAAGGGGGGAACACGGGCGACTGGAAAGGGGGGAACACGGGCGTGCGCCTCTCTCACCTTCAGCAGCGGGCGTTGGCTTGGCCGCATTGAACACCTCGTACATCTCAATGCCGCTGACTACTGGCGGCAGGCGGCTGTCACTTGACAAGGTTTAGGTATTGCTGCGTACAGGGCACTGTCAGGGAACAAGGGTGGGTCTTTCTCTCTCACCTTCAGCAGCGGGCGTTGGCTTGGCTGCTGGGAACACCTCGTACATCTCAATGCCACTGACTACTGGTGGCAGGCGGCTGGTTACCGCAGGCGTCAGCAGCAGCGTGGCAGGGGTGTACAGATCCACACTGGTGAAATTCACTGACACCATCACCACCTGCTGCCCGTACAGGGCAATGTCAGTGCCACTCGCAGCAGCAGCGGGCGCGGGTACAGGAGAAGCAGCAGAAAGGTGGGTGGTAGGAGGAGCAGTGGCAGCAGCTGGGGGGGCGGTGGGAGCCGCAGCAGCAGGAGGAAAGGCAGGAGGCGACAAACCGGCCGGAGCAGCAGCAAGACCAACCGCAGCAGCACGAGCAGTCACATCACCACCACCGCCACCAGGAGCCGCAGCAGCATGCGCAGTCAAATCCCTCCCACCACCACCAGCATCACCCCTTCCGCCAACGCCACTCATCCCAGCCACTCCTACCCTCCCTTTCCCCTGCAGCTGCTCAAACAGATCGAACCCCGCAAACACCAGCTGGCCATTGAGCTCGATATCAAACACCATGTCCCCGGCCCTCTTCACGCGCCCCTCCACGTTCGCAAAGTACAGGATCAGCTGGAAGTTGGCGGGGCTCTCGAGGAATTGGAACTCGTACTGCAGCCCGTTGGCTTTAAGTGCTTGGGGCATCGTGCGAGCTGTCAGCTCGAGGAACGAGGGAGCGGCATTGAGGGTTCCATTCCCGGTGCTTGCTTGATCTGCTGCTGCTGCTGCTGCTGCCGCTGCTGCTTCTGCTGCTGCTGCTGTTGTGGTTGCTGTTGCTGGCGTTTCTGCTGCCCCTGTGTCTATCGCTGCTGTTGTTGCTGTCGTCGCGTGTGCCACTTCTACTGCTTCTTCAGAAGGTGATTCTCCCACCACCACCCTCCCCGAATCCCCAATGCCGAATGCAGCAGCGCTGGCTGTGGCGCCAATGGCCGCCTTGACTCTGACCGGCGTGCCAAAAACGATGGATTCTGGCGAATAGTCAAACATGAGACTGGACGAGGCTGCCCCCCCACTCGTTGCTAGCACGCCATCCGCATCCCATATGCGGTCTAGCGGGTCGTAGGGGTAGCTGGAGGGATGGAGGGATGGAGGAGGGGGGATGGGGCCGGAATGGGGGAACAAGGGAAGAGAGAGATGAGGGAGTGTAGTCAAACTTGAGACTGGACGAGGCTGCCCCCCCACTCGTTGCTAGCACGCCATCTGCATCCCATATGCGATCTAGCTGGTCATAGGGGTAGCTGGATGGATGGAGGGATGGCGGGATGGTGGGTTTAGGGGTGGAGGGATAGAGGCATCATGAGAGAGCCATGCGAAAGTGATAGGGGCAGGATGGTGCTCAACGCCCGGGCGGGGCAGCGTAACCTTACCGCCTGGGCGCAGCGTAAACTTACCGCAGCATGCGGTTGAAGTGGGTGTTGATGGCGCAGAAGAGGCGCATAGAGAGGTGGCTCAAAGCGCCATCAAGGGAGAGCGCAGCACAACAGCATAACCTTACCACCTGGGTGGGGCAGCACAGCCTTACCGCAGCATGCGGTTGAAGCGGGTGTTGTTGGCGCAGAAGAGGCGCCACCACAGCAGCATCACCCCCGTGGGGTCGGGCAGGGACACGTAGGACGCTGGCGGCAGCGGCCTCAGCTCTATGGCGTTCACCAGAGGCTTGCCGTAGATGCTGACGAAGCAGACCTGGAAGGAGGGTAGGGAGTGCAGCATGCAGATGGGGAGCGGACAGGAGATTGAGGGGTCTCAGCTCAGCTCTATGGCGTTCACCAGAGGCTTGCCGTAGATGCTGAAGAAGCAGACCTGGAAGGAGGGTAGGGAGTGCAGCATGCAGATGGGGAGCGGACAGGAGATTGAGGGGTCTCAGCTCAGCTCTATGGCGTTCACCAGAGGCTTGCCGTAGATGCTGACGAAGCAGACCTGGAAGGAGGGTAGGGAGTGCAGCATGCAGATGGGGAGCGGACAGGAGATTGAGGGGTCTCAGCTCAGCTCTATGGCGTTCACCAGAGGCTTGCCGTAGATGCTGACGAAGCAGACCTGGAAGGAGGGTAGGGAATGCGGCATGCAGATGGGGAGCGGAAACAAGAAGGAAGGTGATTGAGTGGAGGCTAAGAGGAAGCTTTGTGGAAAGACCCAATGTAGAGAGCCACTTGCCCCTTGTGTTCCCACGTATCTCCAACTCGGTTGAGTCCACCTGCCTGCCCTATGATCTCAGACTCCACTCATTCCTTGAGCGCAAGCACGGTTGCATTTAAACTGCACTCCAGAGAGCCCTGGTGTAACGGCTCACAGCGCTGCTGCCACCCACGCCCAGTGTTACTCGCGTAACACTTGAGTTGGTCCCACGTACCTCGAGCTCAGTCGGGTCCACCTGCCCTATGATCGCAGGCACCAGGCACCACTCTCTCTCCTTGAGCGCCAGCATAGCTGCCAACCCGAAGTGACCCACAACCAGTGTTCGTACCTCGAGCTCGGTCGAGTCCACCTGCCCTATGATCTCAGACACCACCCGCTCCTTGAGCGCCAGCACCACCGTCGCCCTGCACACAGCACAGCAGCCGGACTCAACCATTTCAAACAGTTTATGCTTGAACCGTTCGAAAGAGTGGAGGGTAGGGGCACAACTGTCTCACAAAATTGCAGGAGGTGCGAAGCCAAAGGCTAGAGTTAGATAAGCAATTCAGCATCACACTTACGCATTACAAAGGAGACAACTTCTGACTCGACTTTGAAGAAACTCAGCATCACACTTACGCAAAGGAGATCCCAAAGGAGACGTTGAATGCGGGCGGGCTCTTGGCATTGTCGTAATTCCCATAGTACATCACCAGGCGCAGCAGATAGCGCCCAGGCCTTGCCACAGGGATGTTGTAACAGTTAACGGGGTACTCCTTAAAGACTCGCATGGTTGCATCCACGTCATCGGCCCCCCACTGCTTGCCCTTGGGCGGCGGCGCTTTGTCCACCACTCCTGTGGTGAAATACTTGTCCGGCTGCCACCTTATTCCGGTGAGTTTATCCACAAACGGGGGGCCAAAGTACCCGCAGTTGATACTAACGAAGCCTGCAGGACGGGAGCGGCAGAAACCCCAGCCAGGGCAGCCCGGGATATGGGGCAGCCCGGGATATGGGGCAGCCCGGAAAATGGAAACACTGCATTAGCACATTGTGCAGCCATCACGCGCCCAGCAGCACCAGCAGCCACAGCAGCCACAGCAGCCACAGCAGCCACATCAGCCACAGCAGCCACAGCAGCAGCAGCAGCCACAGCAGCAGCATTGATCTACGACGATGTGTGCGAAGGCAACCGCAAGCTAGGTGTCAGCAGCAGCACCACACACACAACCACGTCCTCCAGCATACCAGCATACCAGCATACCAGCATACCAGCATACCAGCACACCAGCATATCAGCATACCAGCACACCAGCATACCAGCATACCAGCATACCAGCACACCAGCATACCAGCATGCGTCAATCCCGCCAGAGCAAGCGTGCACGGTGGGCTATACATACATACACCTAACCGTCCACTGCTCGCCTAACCGTCCATTGCTCGCCTAACCGGCCACTGCTCGCCAAGCCGTCCACTGCTCGCCTAACCGTCCACTGCTCGCCTAGCCGTCCACTGCTCGCCTAGCCGTCCACTGCTTGGCTAGCCGTCCACTGATCGCCCAACCGTCCACTGCTCGCCCAACCGTCCACTGCTCGTCCTTGGGCCGTACCACGAAACCCTAATACCTGGTCTTCATCAATTTTGTCCATTACGCAGGCTGACGTCAGAAACACGTACCACGAAACCCTAATATCCGGTCGTCATCGATTTTGTCCATTACGCAGGCTGACGTCAGAGGCACGTACCACGAAACCCTAATATCTGGTCGTCATCAATTTTGTCCATTACGCAGGCTGACGCCCAGAGAGGCACCCATCCCATTCATCCCGTATACACACAGCCTCGTTTGAAACTAAAGAATGCCGTGTCCGCTCAGTCTGCTTTACTGGCCTCAACAACACAAAACACGGCTCCAATAACGCCAGCATGGAAAATAACCCGCTCACGAAAGCACATCCTGTCGAACCCTAATCCGTACCACATCGATAAGCAAGCCAAAAAAGTCACTCACCGAAACCGTGTGAGGACAGCCGACACCCCCCCCTCCTCAACCCCCCCCCCCCAAAGCTAGGTGAGATATTTGTGATAGCTGGGACCACACCTCTTGCACCCCAACTTTGCCGTCAACGGTACATTCTTAGACGCTACTCCGCCGCACAAAGATCACCAGCCAAAATCAGCTCCACACCTCTTAAAGCGGCAAAGGACGGAAATCGCTAACCCTAAAAAAGAACCCCGCAATCGTATCTGCTCCAGCGACATCCGAGGCATAACGCATGGCACAACCGCATCTTGCGACCGCCGGTTCGAGGACACGACGTTCGAGTACATGACGGCACGCATAGTGAAACTGAAAATGCCTCGCCTAAAATTACAGCTGATACTTAAAACAGCATTCTGTGGCGAACCCCCCCAAGCCAGCTGACAGATGACAGATGACTACCAGTGGCAGAATCGAAATCAAACCGCCGGAACCTAGGCATAGGAGCTTGCAACGAGCCGAACCCTAACGTCTGCGAAACACCGTCCTGGAGCCAGGGACTGTAGAGAGGTCGCAGTAGGCTGGGCGACTATGTGAGTGGTAACCCTAACGTCGCGAATTCTGCTAATAAGGTTCCGCGCAAGCTTTCGTCTGAACGAACCGTGGTTTCGCTGTGTCTAAGCAGCTCTAAGCGAAACTATTCTCAGAGAACTAGAGCTTCTTGGACTTTTCGTGCCCTCGGACATAAGCTTCAGTCAGCCAGCCAGGATAAGCTACTAACGAGTAAGAACGTCCCTTAACAGAACTAATGAACCTGATGAACTTATGGACTGCCAGCGAGGCACTAAGCACCAAGCTGCTCTGCCACTAACCTGCTTGAGAAGGCAGACTCGTCCCGGTATTAGCTAAAAGCCGCTCCGGATGCGACTGAGACGAGTGTAAACTGGCCGACGTTCCTGGAATCCTGGCGGGATGAACGGCTAGGATCGCCAACGAAAGGAGAAGAGAGCCAGCGTGGACTTGATTCCATCTGACACCTGCTGGTCTAGGCCTCTGGTGGGACGAGCTTACACACGGCAGGCCGGGACTGAACCTGAAACTGGCAGAGATCAGCATGCTACCGATTTCGACGCTGCTGCCATGTGCTGCTGCTGCTGCTGCTGTTGCTGCGGCGGCGGCGGCGGCGGCGCCGTAGTACGTGTATAAAAAACGACGCTTTGCTGGCAGTCCAGAGGCCTCCGGCAATGCCTAATCTTATAACTACGCGTACGGCGCTTTGTTGGCGTTTCGGACGAATTCCGTAGCGATTTGACTTGTCTAAACTAGACGGACCTTAAGCGGGCAAGAGACAAGTCGTGAATGAAACAAGTTTCAAATCGTCGGCTATGGCGTGACTACGTCACCAGGTTGCACCCACGACCGTCGTCCGAGCAAAGTTTGACTAGGCGGGTCCTCCTCCCCCAGTGCTTTGTACTGTATGCTGCTGTGGTCTGGTTGGGCAAAAGAACGAATGAACGGCGTACAGTAATGCTGTTCTGTGCATGTGTGGGGTGGTAGTGCTTTGTACTGTTATGCATTCTGCAATTCTGCACCCAGAGTCTCTTTTCCTGGAACGGATAATGAAATATGTAGAAAGCGGTTACGTGAGATGAGATGAGTTGAGATGCGTTTCAGTGTGGTGATACCTCGCCTCAGAATCTAGGGGACAAGATAGAGGGAGTTGAGTTGAGTTGTTGTTTGAGTTGAGTTGAACCGCGTCAATTATGGAGTGTCACACGTTCACAATTCGCTTTACACGGTTGAGAATGGTGCGTGATGTTCCAGAGAGTTGAATCACAATAACCGTCCTTGACCGCGAGGTAACCTATTGCACCTCACAAAACGAGCAGGAATCCTAACCCACCCTTAATCCAACAACCAAGCTGCCGGTAGCCTTGCTGATCTACCGGCTTTCCGCTCCAACTAACGCTTTATCGTCTGCTTTGCAGGCGGGAAAATATTTGTGGGGAAACGTGACGTTTGGAAGGTCTCTGACACGAGTACCACATGACGGTCATTGGCTGGCTGGGGGCTGGCGGCTGATGGCTGACTGGTGGCGAAACATTGGGGGAAACCTTGAAGGCAATAGACCCGAGGCTGTGGCTGGTTACCCATGGAGGCAGTGTGGAAGGTTTTGGTCTGGTTCGGACATGAATAGTCTCACGCAGGGAAGCACACAAGCACACTTCCGAACCAGGGGGAGGCATACCAGCCGACGAATTATTTCCTCCAAGCTTGATTGAACCGCAAGGTTTTTCTAAGCCTAACCCTGTCTTTTTTTTTGGGTTGTAGTAGGGACAGCCTTCACTGACGTGAATTAAACCCCTTCCCTCCCTCCTCCGCCCAAAGCACATAAGGCCCCAACCTCCCGTACAGGATGTAGCCTCAGGGCGCGCCCAAAGTTGCCGAATTGTAAATCGCCTTCTAGAGTCGACTGCGTTGCACACAACCAGGGTCAACTGTATCCAACCGAGCTAAACAAGAAATGAACGATTATTTTTCCTTTCTAGGAAAGCCCTCAGGTCGATATTTGTCAGTAGTGAGGACTACAGGCTCAGGAAATACAAATGTTCTCAATGCTCGAGCATTCTCAAGGCAGCCAAAGAGCAGCCGAAATGTAGACCCAAGGATTCACGGCAAAGTTTTGGGTAGCCTAGAACACCTGTCTGCCCACAACCCAAACGAAATCTCTGCCCGCAAACCAAACCACCTTTGCTCAGACCAAACCATGGCAGTCGTGTCCCGTGGTTCGGAGCAGGCTAGGGCAACAGAGCGCGGAATGGTTTGATATGAGAAATGGGAACAGCCACGGATCTGTTGTTGTGGGCAGTTTGCCGCGCGCCAGCACCGTAGCGAAGCGGGGACCTGCCGCGTTCCGAAGCTCGACTGACATCAATTAACCAAACCAAGAACGAGTCCCCAACGATGACCTTGGAAAAGGTGCTGCGATACTACTACTAGCCACGCTAATGAAAACCGATCTTGGTGTAACAACGTGTCAACACGTGTTTATGACAAGAAAATCGAGGCATTTCCCTTGCGTATCATGGGCCTGTTTGGCAGGCTCCCACGCTGAAAAGTTCTACAGCCATAAGAGTTGAGAACTATATCATTTTCTTCTGTGTGATGTCATCTTTCCTTTCGAGGCCTTCGTTTAGTGCCCTACATGCATTTATCCGTCCAAATACACATGCTCTATGGAATTGGCTGACAATTTTTTTCACGTAGCTCGAGAGTGTAACCAGAAATATTTTTTTAACATGGCAAAGAGGACATTGAGCTAAAGTTTTAACTCTACCTCCCGTGATTCTGAGTTTGCTTGGTGCGAGATTTATACGAAGTTGGATCTAAGTGTCAACTTATACATATTATCTATGTAGAAGTTATAGGCTAGACTGAGGTATGCTTCTAGTGAGTACAACCAACTAGTATTTGTTCTAGGTTTCCACCTCTAGTAAATCATTCGTTTCTACGTTAACATGGTATCACGCTTAGGTTAGAATCCCCCCGCCTACCACTTCCGCCCGTCGCGCCTCCTAGGCCCCGTCGCGCCCCCTAGGCCCCGTCGCGCCCCCCCTGGGCCCCGTCGCGCTCGTTAGGCCCCGTCGCGGCCCCCCTGGGCCCCGTCGTGCCCGCTGGGCCCCGTCGCGCCTCCTAGGCCCCGTCGCGCTCCCCCTGGGCCCCGTCGCGCCCACTGGGTCCCGTCGCGACCCCTAGGCCCTAACTCGCCCCCGCTGGGCCCCGTTGCGCCTCCTAGGCCCCGTCGCGCCCCCCATGGGCCCCGTCGAGCCCGCTGAGCCCCGTCGTGCCTCCTAGGCATCGTCGCGCCTCCTAAGCCCCGTCGCGTCCCCCCCTCTGGGCCCCGTCGCGCCCGTTCGGCCCCGTCGCGCCCCTCCTAGGCCCCGTCGCGCCCGCTGGGCCCCTTCGCGCTTCCTAGGCCCCGTCGCGCCTGCTAGGCCCCTTCGCGCCCCCCCTGGGCCCCGTCGCGACCGTTAGGCCCCGTCGCGGCCCCCCTGGGCCCCGTCGTGCCCGCTGGTCCCCGTCGCGCCTCCTCGGCCCCGTCGCGCCCCCCCTGGGCCCCGTCGTGCCCGCTGGGCCCCGTCGCGCCCCTTAGGCCCCGTCGCGCCCGCTGGCCCCTGTCGCGCCTGCTGTTAGCGCTCGCCCGCCTGGCCTCCTCCTAGTGCCGCTCGGCCTCCTCCTAGTGCCGCCCGGCCTCCTCCTAGTGCCGCCCGGCCTCCTCCTAGTGCCGCCCGGCCCCTTCCTAGCGCCGCCCGGCCTCTCCTCAGCGCTGCCCGGCCCCTCCTCGTGCCCGACCGGCCCCAGCAGCACCAGCCTGGCCCCTCCCAGCACCAGCCCGGCCCTAGAGCACCTGCCCGCCTCCCCTGCTCGGCCTGCCGTGTCCTCTCGGGCCCTGTGTCTTCTGCTTGCCTGCGCTGGGACGCCTAGCTGCTGCCCTACTGGAGAGTGCTGCCGCCGTGTCCCCGCGCCGCTGTGCTCCTGTGCCGCTGAGGAGCTGTGCTGCTGTGCCGCTGTGTCGCTGAGGAGCTGTGCCGCTGACCCTGCACGATGGCTGACTTTGTGCTCCGCCTGGACGCTGAGGGCCACGCGGTTGACTTCGCCGCCTGGCTCTCCGATCTTCGCCGCCAGCTTACAGGTCAACGCCAGGATGGCCACTCTCTGGTTGTCCATGCTGATGGCTTGCTCCCCCGTCCCCCTGCACCTACTCCCCTCCCTGCTGACCCCTCCTCTGATGACCGTGAGGCTTTCTCTACTGCTGCGCTAGCCTGTGCGGTCTGGGACTCACGCGATGCAGTAGCTCAGGTTGCTATTAGTCACGCCCTCCCTGTGTCTGAGCGCTCGCGTTTTGCTACTGTTGAAACGGCCAAAGCTTATTTAGACGCCGTTATTGCTCGCTATTCCACCCCTGCCTCCGCTTCTGCTGGCCGCTTGCTCTTTCCGATGCTGTTCCCAGACCTGGCTGCCTTCCCTACTGTCGCAGATTTTGCCACTCATTTGCGTGCCCTAGAGACTCGCTATCGCACTGCCAGCACTGCTGCCCAGCTCACTGCGCTCCCCCCTCCTTTCTGCATGACGCTCTATTTTATCGCTATGCGCCTGCCAGACCGCCTCGCTAGTGCTCGCGACCACTTTCTTAGCCAGCACCCGGGTGACCTCACCCTGACCGCCTTTGTCGACACCCTCACTGAGATCGAGACTCGCCAGCGCACTATCGCTCAGTCGAGCGGTGCGCCGGCAGTCTCTATCTTTCACGGTTGTGCCCCATCCCCGTGCACGTTCACTGACGTTTCGGCTGCGGTCGCCACGGCGACCCCTCTTACCGAGACGGCTGCTGCTGTCCACCCGCAGCAGCGCTCGTGTCGCGGTGGCCGTGGCCGCCAGGGAGGTAGGGGTGGTGACGCAGGTGGTAGTGGTCGTGGTGGTGGTGACGGTAGTCCGCCTGAGGGGACTACCACCGGTGGGCAGGAGCAGCAGTCCCAGCAGCAGCAGGACCAGCCCCAGCCGCAGCCGCCGTCCCAGCAGCACCCGCCGCAGCCGTGGGCTCGTCTCCCGCCTGGTTGGCCCGGCACCTCCGGAGGCGGTGGCCGTGGTGGCGGCCCGCGCAGCTTGGCGTCTACCAGCGGCTCCAGTGCTGTGACCTGCCAGTACCAGCTTCAGACCGGGCCTCTCCGCGGCACTCTGTGCCGCCGCCCGCACCCGACCGCCCACTGTTTCCGCCGCCTCGACGATCTTTTTCGTCGTCGCTTTGGCCCGGCCCCGGACCTCCCTGACTGGCACAGCCTGCTCCGCCAGGGCGTGCCGATCTTTGAGTTAGACATGGATCAGATAGGTGCTGCTTTGCATGCTTTGTATGCTGACGCTTCTAGTGTTGATGGATCTTACTACCATGTGTACTCTAGTTTAGGTGTTTCACCCTTGTGTAGCTTAGCTTCCCCTGCTGGGACAGGCGTAGGACTGCCTAGGTTGCCTAGTCTAGACGCTGCACCGGCTCCGTCCGCGGCCTCCGCCACTGCGTCGCTGTCCTTCACTCTTGACTCTGGTGCTTCTGCCTGCTTCTTCCGCGAGCGTTCCACGCTCACGCCGCTTGCTGCACCTGCTGTTGTCTCTCTCGCTGACCCCTCTGCGGGTCCGGTCGTCGCGCGCAGTTCTACGTCCCTTCCCTGTCCGGCAGTTCCCTCGGGCTCCCTTACTGGCCTCCACGTTCCCTCGTTCTCCAGGAACCTGGTTGGTGTCGGCTGTCTCCAGGACCTCGGCGTCACCACCACGTTCCCCAGGCACGAGCGGTTCGCTGTCTGTTCTGAGGCTGTCTCCGGTTCCCCCCTTGCGACGTTCCCCCGGGACCCGGTGTCCGGTCTGTTTACCCTACACACCGCTTCCCCCCCGGTTGGTGCGTCCTCCCAGGTCGCTG